TATTGTGACATTTCTCTTATCATCCCTGTTTAGTTATTACTACCATCTCCTAAAGGTTAAAAATATTGAAAATTATAGACATGATTGAACATCTTACTCTCCATTTCTACTCCATTTCTTTCCCGGTGAATCCTCTGCATATATTTAGTAACATTTTTGCACATGTTGTGGACAGTGAAAGCAGTGTAGGCTTTTCAGGACAAAGTGACAGTTGATTGCAGACACACTCTCCGTCAGTGGCAGTGGCCCGACGTTGTTTGAGTGTCCAGTGTTGTATAAACATGTCGGGGATCGTCGTGTGGTGAGACTCTGGCAGCTGTGTGATACCCCCTCCTCACCCCTTCTCCCCTGTTCACCCTTACCCCTTCCCCTTACCCTCTCACTTAGCAACAACTTCACTGTCCCGTACGGAGATATCCAGAATTCACCATTGTGCAGGAGGCTAATCCTCATTGCCAGTATACCACGCACATTTTATATTATACTATCTGAGCTACTGTGTCCAAGTTATTTCCCTTGTGAATCAATAGTTTGTCAGAGTTGTGTAGGTGATGGCGCTGCCTGACGCTGCTATAAATATTCAGCTCGACACTTGACTGTTTCCACTGCACTCTTTCACGACACAACGCACAACAGCAGCGCGCCTGACCCAAAATAGTCTGCAGGAATGGTGAATAGGCCACCGCCACGGCCAGCATGTTCCTCCTCCTGCTTTGACTCATCCACCTCTCCACGTCCACAGAAAAGATGGATGGATTTTAATCTGAGAAATGGTTGATCATTAGTAACCAGAGAAGAGACAGAAGAGCTCTTAATCATTTTAATCTCCTAAAAGTTCATTACTACAGTAAACTATTTTGGCATACGGTTCAAATATGTGTAGAGGAAAGTCTGCTCACAATAAGTGTTCATTTACTTTTGAGTTTTGTCCCAGTTTAGTCACAATTTTATTGTGGTGTTTGTGCAACCCTAAATGTAGTTTGATGCCATATTGTGGAACCTTCCATGCCAAGCCACAGCATCATGGAGACAAGCAGGTGGCAGGCTCTCCTCCAGAAAAGTTACACAATGCACCTTTAATTAAAAGATATTTACTTTACTAACTTATTAAATGTATTAGAAAATAGTTAATACTGCAAGTTAGGAGTAAAATATTATTTATATATTTGTTTATTTATTTTTGCAGAGACAGTATAATTCTTCAAAACTTTTGCAATAATTACAGTATATTTAGGTAAATTTGCTGTCCAGTCCAAATAGGTTTTTGACTTATCTTATTAAATACATTGACATTTATTCATTATGTATATATGCAACCATAATCCTTTTAGACAAACTATTCACCTCACCCAGTATGTGTCAAATCAAGAAGCACTGTGGTGCCATGGTGCTACTGTCTTAATTTTCTCCCACAGTCTAAATACATGCTCACCAAATGAAACAGAATATCAGATTAATTGATTGTATGATATAGGTGATAATACAGATTAAAAAAACAAAAACACAGTATATTAAAAAAGTAAATTCATTCATTCATATAATGATCACTTGTGCCTCCATAGTCTGCTCAGATTTCTCATGGAAATGCTTCGTACTGTCAGTTGTGGTACTTTTAAAATATTTTTATAATTAAAAATATTATTGTTGCAACAAGATATTTAGGTTAAAATCGTCTGTAAATTTGTTTTATATTTTTATTAGCCTACAAAAACTACATAGTTGTCAAACTGTCTCACCAATAATGTCATGTCTTGCTTTTGTTACTACATGTGCGGTGAAGTGTCAGTCCACAGTAGTAATTGTGATCTATGTGTAGTAGTAATCTGAGTTGGTGCCTTGGGGCTGTGATCTGCCTATACAAAGCCTTTAAGACACAAGGAACAGTACACCTCAGCTCTCTCTTTGTGGGTGCTCGCATAATGGACAGGAAAGACTACATGAATATACATATCATGGAGATTATCAGACTGGGATAATTGTAATGGGATATTTAGGTTAAGACTCTGTGCTATTCTTTCAGGTCAGGCAGCCTTTGAATTCCTGAACAGTTTATGTTGATATAGACTGTTCAAGGAACTGTATGTAGCCTGGACTTTTACTGTTTTAAAAAGGTTTTACAATCACATATGAACCTGGATTGCCAGTGCCTAAACCTATAGAGGACACATACATGTTTTCCTCAGTATATGGAGTATCAGTATGTGCCTCATGAAAGCTTAAAGTTCAGAGCCTCCAGAATTTCCACCCCGAGCTGCAGAGGTTGCATGGGCACTCATTAATAACTTGCTGCAGGTGCTGTGGTCCTTGGACGCATCCTTTAAGGGTTAAACCAACATGGATTTCTACGTTGAAAATGGCAACCCAAATGAGAGGCTTATTTTGCTCTCTAACTGGATAGTAGTCTTGAGAACCAAGACATCAAATAATAATATAAATAAATGGGACTTACCACAGCAAAACCTTGATTTTTAGGTTTCACTGGACAAATGCTATCATGAAATGTTTACCCCACAATAGTTTTTATTTTATCTACGGCTTCATCACATCCTGAAACTACAAAATATTATCTTTTCTATCTTAACTGACATTTATACCCTAGAAAGTCAAAACCATTGTTTATTTAAAAAACATTAGCTTTTAGATCTGATGTCAGTTAATCACTAAATATCTGTTATGGTTTATTGAATTTTGCCTCTATTACGGAATTTTGGACATGACATGGCATGGAAAACCCAACTTTAAAACCGTCTTTCAATAACCTTTTCATCTGTTTGTCTATGTTTGTCCTGTTATCTTTCAATATCTTGAATAGCGCTATACAAGATATTAAAGGGACTATATTTAATCTAATGTTTCAGAGATTCACAAATGAGGACCACTTGGCTGTGCACAAACACAAACATGAGATGACGCTGAAGTTTGGACCAGCCCGGACTGACTCCGTCATCATTGCAGGTTAGTTTGAATCTTCCTGTTGCTTATCTTTACAGACGCTATGTCACGGTTGCACTCACCACAGGCCTGTAAAAGCAGAAGATGCAAACATGAGTTTCTATATTGGATGTTGAGTGTGATCCATGTGTGAAAACATTATTTTGAATAGTTAGCATCTCACTGTTGTTTCCGTTTGCCAGACCAGACACCTACTCCCACTCGCTTCCTAAAGAACTGTGAAGAGGTCGGGCTGTTCAATGAGCTGGCCTCTTCCTTTGATCATGACGAAGATGACAAGAAAGCCAAAAACACTGTAAGTTTGTGGCTAGTTTTGTTCAGAAAAAAATACATTCGTTTTTACTTCCTCCTTTGGGTTAAATGAGGTAATAACAGTATTTTCTAACTCTCCTTGAATCTCCATGAATGTGCTTTTTGATGAGAATGGGCTATACATTAATACACAAACCTCAGCGTTTGGATTAAATAATGTAAATGTACGTGTATGAATGTGCTAGATAAGACATATTTCACCAGTTTCAGAGGAGAAGGACATAAGCCATGTCTGCTGCTGTGAACTGCACAATCAGATTAGTACATACCACACAAGGGTTTAAGAAAACAAATTACTAACTAAATTGATGTTGTAGTCACTTAGGATGTAGAAGTAGTGCCCATTTCCCTTTTAAAGTTGATGGTGGTTCGTACGGTGTTAGTTTTGACTAAAGAATTTAAGTGTTTTTTTCTTACAGCAGCCATCTTCAAACTCTGGTGCAGTGGACATGACTCTGCAGACACCTTCAGAAGTCAAGGTGAAGGAGGAACTGCCTGTGGAGGTGGACTCCTCGCCGCCCTGCAGTCCTCAGTCCATCTCTCCAAAACCAGACAACCAGAGAGAGTCATATGCTAAACCTAAGGTCTTATTATATATGCTATACTTATTTCATCACCTGCTATTATATTGCAAAATTTACTATGAACTATTAATGGACTTAAAATCGTTCTCACACATCATTAATTTAGTTGTATTTTGAGGATTTCATATTTGAGATATTTTTTTATTGTTCTGTATTGGCAGTTAGTTTATTAGTTAAATTAATAAGTTAATAATAGTAATATGATAATAATAAGTAATCACTGAAACAACAGGGAAAAAAACATAATATGTTTATAATGGATAACTTCTGATTCCTTTTTATTTATTTTTGTGCCCAGGACACACCTCCCAGGAGTTCAGCTCCCACCCCAACGATAGTGAGGCCCGGATCACTGCCACTCCACCTGGGCTTCGATGCCCTTCACCCCACCATGCCCTCACCGACCTCTGTCATCACACAGGCCCCGCCCTCAAATCGAACTCTAGGGTAAGAGAAATCTTAATTTACTGTACCAATGATTGGATTAGTGGCTGAAGGCTCAGTCTTTTGATGTTTTTTATTATTTATTTTTTTTTTATTGTTTTTTTTTTATTGTATTGTTTTTTAAATGTTAATTTGCTTCATTCTGTTATTTATACTACAATTCAAATTGTATCAAATTTAGCAAGCTATATAATGCCTTAGACATATATAATGTCTTTCTGAAAAAGAAGCTGTATGTTATATTTTTTTTGTGTAGATCTCCCACCAGCCATTATCCCATGATGATGCTGCCCACTGGTCAAGCAGTGCCTGTACTGCCTGGCCCTGTGCCGATTCCCTCAGTTATTAATGTAAGACACACAATATTTCACACCAGCCAGTGCTGTAATAAAGTAAAACAGTAATAACCATAAATTCACTATTGTGTTGTGTTGTGTCGCTCAGCTTGCTCGACCCATGTGCATGGTACCCAACATTCCTGGAATCCCTGGACCTCCTCTAGGGGGCAGCAGCTCTGGCTCCAACTCACCCTCCGGCTACAGCATCCACTCAGAGGCCAAGATGGTCAGCTCCTGATTAGTCCTCTATATTTATCCTGTTATCTGCTCCCTTTATCTCCTCTGTCGGCCCTGCACTCTTCTGCACACTTCTCTACTCATATGACTTTTTATTGCAGTAACCTGCAGTTTATTTAACTCTTTACTCTGTGCCACCCTTACACTGAATCTCTGATATAGTGCTGTTAGCAGCTCTGCAGGACTGCTACAGTTTTTCAGATAAAACCTGAAAGCTCTTTGTGTTGAGTCCAGTCACTTCATTTGTTTCTGCTGTGTGCAGGGATTACCCAAGTGTTTAAGTTGACCTTGTGCAAAAGCGTTTGGTTACATTCATATTTAGCTCTAACTTTTCTTTGGTTTTATTATTGCTGCCACCAGGTCATTATTACTGTGGTGACTTGACTTAACATCAGCTGCACTGCAGTGTTTTATTATAGAAGGATAGACCAAAGGAGTGTGCTGTTTAATACAAAAAGTGTCATTGATTATAATATACTGCTTTTCAGCGGCTAAAGGCGGCACTGTCCCAGCAGAGTCCTTCAGGACACAGTATGGGAGTGATGGCTTTGGGCAGCAGTCCCATGGTGCCTCAGAGGGCAGAGCAGAGTCAGCTGCTGGTCCAGCATCCAGATGCCCCCTCTCCAGCACAACCTCAGGTAGCCCCAGACTGTGACTCAAACTTCCTTTTATCTTCCTCCTCTCACTATATAACCATGTTTTTCTCCAAACACGGTCCTGTCTTTCTTCAGGTGTCTCCTGCTCAGCCCACCGGGGGGCGCCGGCGGCGGACGGCTGACGATGACCCAGACGAGAGAAGGCAGCGTTTCCTGGAGAGAAACCGCGCTGCAGCATCGCGCTGCAGACAGAAACGCAAACTGTGGGTCAGCTCTCTGGAGAAGAAGGCAGAGGAGCTCAGCTCTTTGAACGTGTCTCTGTCGGTGAGTTAGGCACAGAGTCCACAAACTTATCCAAGTCAGAAAGAAGTCAGAGCAATATCTAACAACATCTTTTATTTAACATTCTTTGTTCTCCTTCAGTTTCAACTCATTAGTCTTTTACTATAGTAAAAATGTTGCTAAAAGGATTTTAATTTGCACTCATTTGCTTATTTTCTTTTCCATCAAACCAGAATGAAGTGTCCCTGTTGCGAAACGAAGTGGCTCATTTAAAGCAGCTGCTGCTGGCCCACAAGGACTGCCCTGTGACCACGCTTCAGAAGAAGACGGCCTACTTAGGTGCTACTTTAATTCGGTTTGCATTATTGTGTTTCTGTGTTTGAGGATGTTTCCCAGATTTTTGTCAACAAAATAACGTTTTGTATGTATTTTTCTCACTGGTAGCAGTTGAGGAGAGCCTTAAGGACAGTTCAGAGCCCACAGGATCTCCTGCCCCAGTGATCCAGCACAGCTCACTGGCACCTAGCCCGTCAACCCACAACGGGCTGAGCTCCAGAGCCGCGGCGGAGGCCATGGCCATGTCCGTGCTGGCGGGAATGGGGCAGCAGCAGCACCGCGAGAGTGCCGCCTCCCATATCATCATGGCTGCACAGTCCCAGTCTGCTGCCAGATGATGAGCACTGCCCCTATGGCCCTGCCTGGGCTGGTCCCTCATGGAAACAGAGCTGAGGACTGCTAAGCGACTTCTCCCTGCCCCCCGGCCTGCTCTGTCCCATGGGGGGTCATCCCGCTGTGGGCCGCTCAGTAGCAGCCTTCTGGTAACGGACTGACACTTAGAGAGCGCCTGTTCACTCTGCGATAAACTACAGGGGCTGGACTCCAACCTTCACCTGATTCCCTTTGTCTGTCCTCCTCCTCTGTCCAAATGACTCCTCACTGGACTGCATTGTATTGAGTGTACTGCCGTTACTACATACTGTGTGGAGCAATACGTCATTTATGATCAAATAACACACCAAGCAATGTATAGAGGGCTTTTTAATGTGCCTTTGTTCAGCCTTAACATCTATTACTGTCATAGTATTTTAAAATAAATGAAAACTGTTCTGTGCAACACATTAATTGTGTGTAACTCATAACATAGCATAGACTTATTTCTGACTAGTTTTTTTGCTTTCATGTAACCTTTCTAAAGTTGGTTATAAAACTTGATGAAATTTGTGCAGCTATGTTTTAGTTAACAGGCACATCTTTACATAGAAGGGAACACCTTCTTCCTTTGCTTCAAAATCTGTTTGGTAAAATTATTTCATTATTTGATTTTGCATGTTGCCCAACACTTAATATACCTTTTATTTTTACATTTCCAATGATGGTTATATATTCTTGCTGCTTGCATTGAACCCTACTTGGCTCTCCACCAAACACAACCTAAGCCATAGACCTAATCCTCCAAAGACTGCCCGGTGCATGTATGAAAGCAGAGAGTAAAATGTAACCATTAGATTTGTAAATCAGAGGTTTCAGTGTCATGCAGCTGTATGCAGTTACACAAACTCCCTAAGTCAGGTCTCTATTGCCTTAAATGTCCATTTGTGCCTAAAGCATCCCATTTAACTTTAGCCAGAGCCTTAAAATACAGACACTTGTGTCCTCTGCTGGAGAGACCTAGAACGACAGCAGATTGAGCCAGTTGGGAATAAGTAATACTTTTAGATTCCACCAATGTGTTTATGCATTTCTCAGTCAAGAACCCTGTTCTGTTTTGTTCTTGCCAACTGTTCCTTGTTATTCTGATAAATTATAAATGTGATAAACATCTGTCCATAAAAGGGCATGTCATGATGCACTAATGAAATGCATTATATTTGTCTATTGTGTATTTACCTCTGTATCTTGTATGTGAGCTGTATACATGGATGGGAATTTGCTTATTAACTTTATAAACTAACCTTTGATAAAAGCAGTGGTGACCCCAATCTTGTATAGGGATGTTGGCAGTATATTAGGCTTGTGTCCCATAGGTGACTGTCATATAAAATGAACATTTGAGACATTTTAATCTGTTTTATGTAACTGTCTGGCACCTTTTGTCTTGTTTTATTAGATTGATTTGCTTTCTCCCATGTGCTACATATCCCTTGTGATACATATAATGTTTTCTCAAATTTTTTAACATCTAAAAGCAAAGTTTCTAGACAGTCCCTGTTTAACTTATTTTAATTGGCCAGTTCTTACATTTTGGCATATTTTAACTAGAATGTTGTGAAAAGAAAAAAAGTGCAGCTTGTGCAGTTGCAGTTGTAGCGTATTAGTGTTCTTTCACACTCCCTGATGGACTGATGATGACTTTAACATGTTATTGTACTGTACATATCTGTACTATATGAATATATTTACTTTTGATGCATGTCCAAGTGGATTAATATGAACACTTACAGTGCTGCAGTTTTAAAGTAACTACATAATAAAATCCTATATTTGTGTTTCTTCTGAGTGTCATGTTGTAGAAGACATACAGGTTAAGGTTATTTTATTGCTGACTCTTTTAAAGGGGCACTATGTAAGTTTTAGGTGGATGTTTTTTTGTTTTTTTCAATGACAGGTGTTTAATTGCTCAGAAAGACCTTAAATAACATGCATTATTAAGAATGGGGTTGCTTCTGGAGCTGTGACATCTAGCTTAAAGCCATACTGTGGAATAACTAGACAAAAAAAAAAAAAAAACATCTCCATGGAGACCAGCGGGTGACTGAATCTTGACCAGAATATTACATATTGCAACTTTAAGCAAAGTGTAGATAGAAGGAACAGTATAAAGGTATATGCAAAAAAAAAACCAAAACCAAAAAAAAAAAAAAAAAAACTAATTCTGAAGGTTTTTATATATATATTTGGCTGACCTTTCTCAGGTAATACTATGTACATAAGTACTAGGTATGTGGTATGATTTTTCCACTGTCCAAATGACTCCTCACTGCACTGCATGGTATTGAGTGTACTGCAGTTACTACATACTGTGTGGAGCAATACGTCATTTATGATCAAATAACACACAAAGCAATGTATATAGGGCTTTTAATGTGCCTTTGTTCAGCCTTAACCTCTATTACTATCATAGTATTTTAATATGAATTAACCGGCTGAACCTTGACCAGAATATTAAATATTGAGGAATAGTGTAAAGGTCTATGCAAAAAAAATAAAAAAAAAAAATAATTATAATATAATTATATTATTATATTATTATAATTATATATTTAATATATTTTGTCCTTTTCTCAAACTTTTTCACAGGAGTATTAACCATAGATATCATTTTGTTGAACTGTGCTGTGCTTCCGCCAGCTCGCCGACAGGGGGGGCTGCAGTTGAGCTTGTGTGGTAAGACGAGTGCAGTCACGTGACCGCGGTCGTCGGCTGTGGTGAGTGTTCCCATTATGGCGGAGGGGCAAGCCGTGCGGATGGACTGTCTCTCCCACTCTCATGCCTGGGTTGTGTCGTGAGGGAGGGCGTTTTTATTTTTTATTTTTACACATTTCCCACCAAGAACACAGCCCCTTCTGACCCGGACGGGAGAGGCGTTTATCGGTTCGGCCATGGCGGATCGCGGCGTGGATTTGTCCGCCCTGCCAAAAGAGGTTAGGGACCAATTGGCGGAGTTGGACCTGGAGCTGTCTGAAGGTAAAGGAGGGGAGGGGGATGCTAGATCTAGCGTTGAATCTCAGCTGTCTGGGCTCACCGGCTTACACTAAATCAACACTTTTATTTATGTGATTTTCCTTTGTGCACATTTCAGTAAGGGCACACGTCAGACTGAAAGACCTAGCTTATTCTTTGCTAATACAGGATGTGTGCAAAAGAGCTAGCAGAGCATGACAAGCAGCATTGTACAGGCTTAGATCCTTGCCTTTGTTTTTCCTCTAGCTTGTGTCTTGGCTTTTGTTTTTTTAAACGCACATTTAACGGCACTTTCCTTTGTTAGATACGAAAGATTAACGTGGATTTCTTGTCTAGACCAAGACTTTACTGGGTGTATGGTTTGACAGACTAAAATGGCCAGAGGCAGGGTCTTGCTATCAGAGTTTGACCCTTCTCCTGTCATCACGGGCATGTTAGCCTCATATAGAGTGAATAGGTTTCATACTGGGGTCGCTTATTTGACACGGCTCTTGTCCAGTACATGACTTCAGTGCTCGGGTTAATGTGAATAGATTGAATGATTGCTGTGTAAGTGACTCATTGTGACTAATTATGAGATAAAATGGACACTCATCTGGTCTGCTGTTGTACCAAGGTGTAGGCTGGTATGAAATGCAGCCGCTGGTAACATTGTAAAGCACACTGTTTGGCCTCAGTGATAAGAATGGTTACTAAGGTGTACACTGTTAAGCCTGTTATTACTGTAATTAATATGTAGAACAATCTGGGCTGCTTATTAAGTCAGTGCATTAGCCAAATTCTCACAGTCTTTCTCTTGAATTATCTAGTTTGTCAGTCATCAGTTATCTTTTTATGTGAGGTATCTTTAATAAGCAATAGCATGTGTACTAACCACATTTGACAACAGGTGACTTGACAGATGCAAAACCAAGGCAATTCAAACTGCCTGAGACATTTGCAATGTGGACAAGATGTTCACATTACATGTATTACATTGTTGGCTCAAGTAACAGACTAGTAATGTACAGTGAGAGCCACCATAAAAACCATCAACAGACATCATGGTTTGTCCACCTCTTGCATTTTTAATACAGGTTATTTAGGTACAGCCCTGGGGTGGATAATACTGATAAAAATGTATATGTCTCAGTATTTTTTTGATAATTATATTCAAATGGTATTCTGGTAATCCATCAAACATGCTAAAAGTGTCTGTAAAGGTCTTGGTTCTTGTTAGAGAGATTACACTGCTCTCTCTCAATTCAGGTCAAGTGTGTGGTTTTAGTGATGTGGCAAATGTGATGTCAGTGTGTCATGTCTGTGTGACTTACAATATGATGAATTGCTATATCTCAATACTTTCTGGTGTTCAGAATGTAATCAGTGCAGAAGAAATTGTTGTTAAACATTTTATATCTTAATGCTTTGCAGGCATCTCTACAGTAAGGATGCACCGATACCATACAGGTATTGGATATTGGCACTGATATTGAATATTTTGGTGGATCGGATTTTGGTCTCAAGATATCAGTTCAGCTGATACCCCATTTTGGGCTGTATACTAGTGTAATAAGACAATTTATTGGCCAATGTTGCCCCAAAACATCTTATAACATTAAACTTTTCACTGAGCTGTTCTGTCGTTGATTGAAATGATAAATAACAAAGCATATTTGGATATATTTTTAACCATACACTGTTTGTGCATGGGATTGTGTATTAATATCGGGGATCGGTAGATGCTCAAAGCCAAAGAATCGACATTGCTGTCCGAACTGAAAAAGCTGGATTAGTGCATCTCTACTCTACAGTATCATTTCCTCCTCTCAATTTTACTACAAATATTGTATCAGCACCAGAGAAAGTCTGTGATATTATGCTTTGAGCTTTAGATACAACTTCATCCCTTCAACTCCTCTATGTAGGGTATTGTTCCCAGGAAGATCATTAAGAACAAATTTCTTTTTACAACTTTTACCTGGGTCTTTCTTATGCCCTTCAGATAAGATGCCACCCTTTTAACAAATGTGATGGATGTGTCTATTTGCTGTGTTCACAAATGTTGGTTATTCCCTGAAGTGGAGCTCAGTGCAGTCCCACCCCTTCAGAGCGAGCAGCTGCGGGCCCCTCCTGTGTGACCACTCAGCAGCGCTTCAGTGGCAGCTCTGCGACACCTGGGCCACATTCCTCACACTGAGCAGACAAATCCAATCACTCTGAGCCCTGACTGCGCAGTGATGATGATCTGCTGCGTTTGTCATTCAACAAATGACCCTCGTGATGCGCTGAAAAGGCTAATGGCCAATGTCTCTGGTTGGACGGTGCTACACTGAGACTGGTGGCAAGAAAAATACAGGATGTCCAAATAGTGTCATAACAGTACTATAATTTCAAACTATATTTTTATACTGATACCACAATGATAATTGTATACAACAACTCTTTAGACAGCAGAATCTGATTTTCAACATTAAATCATAGTACTTTCTTTTATGTTACCATACGGTCTTATTTCTGTTTAATCCCTCAATCGTACAGGTAATTTCCATAGTGGTCCATGGGTGTATACAAGACTATAGGTCTTATACTTGTTGTGCTACAGCTCAAGTCAAGATCATTCTAAAGCTATTCAGGAAAGGCACATTTCTGCCCTGTGGATGTGACTTTTGTAGAATTGATATTTGCCCAAATTAGTTATGGTACTAGTTTTAATGTCAATATCTGATTTTCAATAGTTTTGACAACCCTATGTTGAAATCTTCTCTCAGATTAAGATGTTGGGGTATCTTCTTGCAATATATATCTTTGGGATGCTGATGGTTAAGATAAACCTTAAAAATATAGCCAGTTTTTCAGTGTATATGCCATTTTAAAATCAATGGTGTTAGTGTGAACATGAGAGTAGTAGATGCCAGTGTCTGTGGAAACGTCTCTCTCTCCTCCCCCATGGACACGTGTTTGACTGTCAATACTCCTGTCATGTGTTATGACATTCCAAGCAGTTCACTACTTTAAGGTATGTTGCAATAAGTTGTATGCATCAGTAAATGTTTTTCTGGTGATATGAAAAGTAATTTTATGTTCTTCTGAAATGCTGCTCTGTTATTTCTGAGCTTAATGAATATCTTTTTGCATTTGCTTATGTTTAAGCATCATATTGTATTGTCACAGTGCATACAGTAGTTCATGTATCCACTTAAGTCTCCCTTTCACTGCTGTTTTACCTCAGGCCTCAAGTCCATAACTGCCCGCTCCTCACAGCGAGTGGAGATGCTTGTTGTTGCGTTGCTCGGATCAGAACAGAAGCCTGCCAAATGGCCTCTTAAACACAGGCGAGTTGTGCGAGCCCCCGGTGACCATGGGGACACAATGAGGAGCTTTGAGCTGGTCTGGACCGCTTTAGTCATTTAGGCCATTCATTTGAACCAGCGCTTTGTGTTTGGGCCTCTGAAGGAAGAGAGGGAGGGGCCTGGGTTTGACGGGTCCGATGTGACGAAGGTGATGTCGTGTGGAGTGTACAGGGCTACCCTCTGCTGGGACAGGGGGTCAAAGGTCATGTCCATGGTGCTACTTTAATGGGAATTTAATGTTGACATCTCAGGACTGTAAACACAATCCTGATGATGGGACGGCTGTAACCAGGATTTCAGTGGCTGTTTCTGTAGAGTCTATACAGTGTTATATTGATTTTTATAGGTTTTTCCATAGAGGGGAAGAATGAGATACATTATAAATTAGATTTGTGTGTATTGTTTAAAATCAGTGTTCAGTTCATAGTTCACATTTGAAATGTATTTAGAAGCAATAATATTTGAGAGAAGACCGA